TAAATGAACAAAATAATGTCAGATTTACCTGAATTCAATTTTATTCCACCAAGTTATGATATTGTCAACGATTTTCTGAAGGTGGCCCAACCCTGACTACATGGCCCAACGCTGACTACATTTTTTTTTTTTTCAAACGCCTATAACTTTTTTTGTTTTTGTTTTTTTATTTTCTATTTTTGGTGAACACTTCCTATTGCTTGTACCTTTCCAAAAATGTATAAACTTATTCTGAATTGTCAGTCGTTCAGAACTTATGGACATAGGTCAAAATATGGCCCAACCCTGACAACATTCCCCTATATCGTATATAAGCAATCAAGACAGTTTTTAAATTACTTGTTTGCTTGTTAGAAAGACGTTAAGAATTGTATATTGTAATTAAGATATTTTCTCAAAAAATGGTATATTTGAAATACAACAGTTTGTTTCATAAAAATATATTAAAGCTTACCTCAAAATTTTAACTATCAGATATTTTTGTTTTATTTTGTGTAGAATTTCTATAAAGTTCCGTATCAATTTATTCGTAAATAAAAATAATTCCCAAAACTATTAAAGGAATTCCCTCAGCAAAACCTGAGGTCAAAAGTTCCCAACCACATATCGATTATTTTTCACGCATAAGTTGACTTTGCAATGCGCTTTATTCCCAACGACAATGCCGTTTAATCCCGTACCCAGTTATAAAAACGCGAAAAAGTTGAAAACAGCATTATCACGCTTGGTTTGCCTTCGAGAAGCAGATGTGGCCCCCAAATGGCATTGACACCATTCGGAAAGCCTTTAAGTCCCAGCACTTTAAATTAGTTTTGATAAGCGCCGTGAAAATTGGAACAACTTTTATAAAAATTGTGGTAGGTCCCCGAATAAAAGTTATATGCAAAACAGAAAGTAATTCCTATAGTCAGCTCAAAAGTTGAACTTTATATCTGCAGAGGTATAAATATTCCGATATAAAATATCCGCCATCGTTTTGCCTACAAATTTCAAGCTCTCATGCAAATCAGCAAATATTTTACTCCGCCTGGGTTCCATTTATTTTTCCATTTTCAATTGTGTGCCCTTTTTGCATATTTTCTCCCATGACTTTCTTTGCCATCTGCGCTCTTGACTCCCTTTCTTCTACGGTTTCTGAATGTGGTTTTCCGAGGGCGAAAACTGAAGTGTTTCCCTCGGCTAAAGTCACACACAGCGTTTCTGGGAGGCCAGAATCTTTTGTTTGTGTTTCGATTTGTCGTTTTATGGGCTTAGCGCCATGTGGGAGGACTCAGCTCCTATTAATTTTCATTGAGCAAATCAAATGATGTAATAAAATATTTATTGTTTCATTTTCTATTAGATTTTCTCAGAACGTAGCAGCTTTAATGACATTTTTGAAGAGAGAATAGCACATTTTGTGGTTTTTAATTTAATTAAGCTTTTATTGTTGTTTATGAAAAGGTTTATGGATGATTTTTGGGTATCAAATAACTACAGTTTTGAAAGTTAAAAAATAGTAATTGTACTTAAATAAGCGTTTAATCAATGATCATCCATTTTTGATTCCTTTGTGGGGACAAATTGTATTTTAAATATTTTATATATTTATTAAAACTCAACGTTTTAAGTTAGTATTGAAGCATATGAGAATCTATTTTTAAGTTTCCTCACTTTTAGGCAACTCTGTGTAAAGGGATCATAAACTTAGTCGCAGCTTAACGCACAAATTGTTCGGTTCATTGGCAATCGCAAGTCATCTGTGCTCCAGTTCATCGTTTCTTTATCCTTTATCCTGGGCAAGGTCATTTGTTCCTAGCAGCTTAGCTCAACGCCCAACGAAATCCATCTGGGTTTCGGATCGGCCCAGTTATGGGCATTCATCACCATCAGCGGCGGGCCATCCATTCTACTATTCATTCATTCATTCACTCACTCGGTGGATAGTGGGTAAAATAATGCTTTGGTTGTTCGAGCCCTTTTTCCCTTCTGCTCATCAGGCGCCAACTTGTGTGTTTACCCAAGTCTCGAAGCAGGCAATCTACAAACGTGGCCAACACTCACACACACACTGACACAATGCGGTTCCGAAATAACCGGAATACATGGTCTTAAGTGCTTTCGGTTCCGTTAGTTAGGAGCCCTTCAGCAGTGAGACAACGATGAGGACTTTCGTCCTTTCGTCCACGGCGACTGTAGCCTACTTACGGGCCTCCACTGGTTCGCTAGTTAAGCCAAATGAAATTTGTGTTAAGCAGCACACTTCGCTTAACCTTGGCTTAAACACATTCAATTACAGCTGTGGTCGAAACTATGAAGTTAAATCGGACACTCAATTGTTCGAAAATGCGGCTAAACACCATTTAATTTTTCATAGCATACTTTTCGGTGCCCTTTTAAGAGGTTTGAAATCTGAATAAAAAGCTTAAAGAAAAAAATAGTTATTAAATGTTGTAGGGAAATATTCAGAGACTTTTTTAGGTCAATCAACAATTTGATAAAATTAATTAAATTCCCTTGTTATATTATTATGACTTCAGCTGTACATCGGGCAGACAAAAACCCACCCACACTTGAGTAAACATTACGCTGAAGGCAACACGGAATTTTAATTATGTCTAGAACAGACACAAAAGGTTAGCGATGAACAAAGCCCTCACACATGGAAAAACAGCTTGCAAATTGCTTGGCTCCACTTTGGTGACTTAATTTGTTGCCAGCCCCCCGACAAATTCTATCAATAAAAGTTTCATCAAGCCTAAGTGACATTTTCGGGGCTGCCGCCTATTTAGTGAAATTGCTGCGGCTATTTGGGCAAATTGCCACTGAAAGTGAACCCCTGAATATGCAGGTGAAAAATGGAAAGTTTTGCGTTTGCTGAAAGTGCTGCCCGGTAGTTGGAAAATTGTTTGCATTGCAGGCTCACTGTAGGTTTGAAATGCACGTATACAATTTTATCGATTTTTTACGACATATTTTACACTCTGAAGCGTGCAAAATGTTATGCCAGTGGGCGGAACGAGGAGACGCCGGTGTGTTTTTGCCAATTTAAAAGGTAAAGCCAACCATTCTGCACTAATGTTTCGGGGGGTTAGTTCTCTACTGAGCGCCAGAGTCAAGCGATGACTACAAATTGGTGTGTTTGCATTGAAAATGTTAGCATTGCAGAAAATTGCAGTTGTTGTACAAACTCAGAAAGCATTAAGCAGGATTTCATGGCTGCCAGGAGGATGAGTTGCAGCCAAAATACCTTATAATTGAGCTTTGAAACTGTTGCACTCGACTAGAGTTGAAGTTGAAATTGCTTTGTAGGAGACATGCTTTATGGTTTGTTTGTTACAGTAAATTGAATGCAAAGAACACTTCGTTACACCCTTTTAGATGCAGTTAATAAAAGTAAATAACTGCATTTCATTTTAGAAACTCTAAACTTATTTTTCATATTTAGAAAGACATTTCTATAGAGTCTCAAAGATATCATTTACCTTAAAACATTTTCTATGAGATAGAAAAGTATCTAAAATAAATCCCTACCCTTTTATTTATTTATTTTATTAATAAAAGTAAATATCAACACTTCATTTTGGAAACCCTAAACTTATTACACATATTAAGAAAGACATTTCTGCAGAATCTCCAAGATATCATATACCTTAAAACATTTTCTATGAGATAGAAAAGTATCTAATCTTAAATCCTCCCTCTTTGATATGAGTAACTAAGTATACGTAATCCTAATGAATTTAGTACTCAAAATAAAACCATGAAATCTATCTTTAATCAAGAGCGCGCGTTAACCTGCCTTAAATCTCATTGCTCCTCCCATTCCGCTAACGAAATCGAAATGCAAATGTGTTTTGCATGTCATTTAAAGGCGATTTATGTGGTGATTCGCTTCCAGCCATGGAATGACATTGACTTGGCACAACTGGTAATTCAATTTCCATGCTACGAAAGGGAGCAAATTGCCAAAGGAGCTGTGAGGTGTTGGCCCCATTTCCCAATTTCCCCCCTTTTCCACCTTTTCCCGCATTTTACTATCTGGTAATCGGAAGCAACGCGGAAATGTATGCTATCTGCTGTTTGTGATTGCAAAACGACAGCTGTGGCTTTTACTTTTGGTACAACAGTTGGTGGCACAAATCGACACCAGCGAATTGCCAACAAATTGACGGATTTTTTCATTTAATAACACTTGGGAATGACTTTCTGTCGGACAGAAGGACTTTCATCCCAAACAAATCCGCAGAAAATCTCTGGACTTCCCGTTCGGTTTGTTCGGCTTTTGTGTTTGGGGGCCTTTCGGCCAAATGCTCAACACGTTTTGGCCATTGTTGGTTGTTTGTGTGTTCGGGGACCCTTTTTCACCCACTTGGCATCTGTCAGATTTATGACAAAATCGCTTGACACACTGCTGGGATTGCCTCTTCACCCTCCCTCTCTGATCAAAAAACATATATATACATTAGGCTCTGCTGCAGGTCTCATAATCGATTGGGTTTGGCAGTAAATTATGCTGTTGGGCGCACATCAATCACTTGTTGGGCGATGTAAGCACCTGTCAATTAGCAAGTACTTAAGGCTACAACGTGCAGCGAATTTGGACCAGTTGTCAACTCACGGGTGATAAATAATGATTCCTTTTAGTGCCTTTGAGGTCTAAGGAATGTCTATGGGTTAGGGTATGGCCATTATGAATTATAAGTGGATAAAAGGTGTGGAGATAAGGATTTTATTAATACAAAATATGCAGATACCCAATAACAGATATGTATGATTTAGATAAACATTCGACACATGTAAATAAATATATTTAGTTGCTTATCATTGTTCCTTTTTTTGCTGTAAAGGGCTTTAAAAGTACAGAATGAAATTCAACTGTATGCTAACTATAAATCCCCCCTCGAAAAAAATCCCACCAGGGACACAACCAAAATCTCGATACTGCAGGCCAATTAAAATGCCATTTTGTGCTGACCTTTCCGATTGACCTTTGCCCCATTTTCCCTCTGGTTTTCCAGGTTCTCCAGCCGCTACGAGCTTCCACTGCTGGTGCAGAGCGTCGTGATGAACGTGACCATGTTCCTGATGATCCATCTGTGCGTGAAGGTGAAGCGGGTGAACGCCAACAACCGCGAGCTCGCCCTGCGAGGTGAGTCCCATCAGCCGATTGCAGGCTGTCACCCCGCAGATAAACATGTCAAGCAATCAACCAACGCTCCCTCGTTTTTCCAGGCGATGAACTGCATTTGCCCAAAGTGATGACGGACACGGACACGGGCGCCTCTGTTTCCACGGAAGCCGGCGGAAGCGTCCTCAAGCGAGTTCGCTCCCGGCATTATCTCACTGGTAAGTCAAATGCTTTCACGTGGTTTTAAAACACAGCGATGTGGAAAGCCATAAAATAGTGCGCCGTTTAGGAGATATTTTAAGACATATTTACATATAATAGAATGCATAAATTTGATATCCGTTAAAAGCAGAACTTAAAGATAGGAAGAACTTCAAAGAATTGTTCATACCTAAGTCTTCTTCAAGATTATTAATTTTTGCCATTATCTAAAAAATATTATTATTTAGATCGTTTGTATATACGGGATTGTACATAGATATCTAGGGTTTTAAACTACATACTTAAAAATGTTTCTTAAAATATACTTTTAAAAAATAAACTCACTCTATTTCCTATGTCAGACTTCAAAGTAAATTAAAACAAATCTAACTAAATGCGGAAAGAGAAGTTAGAGCATTGCAATTCCATTACCATTAGCGAAGCTCCACCTTCTGCTGCTTTTTATCATACTATATCTTTATGGAGCGGAGCGCCCGTTCGCCGTCCGCATTTACTTCTTCTCCTTCATTACATCTTATCAGTAAATAGAAAAACAAGAAACTGGGTTAGGAGGTGGCTTTCTGGGCGGTAAATTGATCAATGAACCGTCGAGCAGAACCAATATACGCCCACGCCAACACGAGCTAATTATATTGGCACGCCTTGGGCTTCTTTGTACTTGTATTGCTTGTCGTAAATTGTGCAGCGCCTAAAAGCAGGCAGAGATAATGAAAATTGATTTCCAACTGGCCTGCCATCTGCAGTCCTCCCGATGTGGCACCTTTGAACGATTTATAGAGCTCTAAACTGTTGGGTCATGACCTCTGGCTTATTGCCGTAAAAGTTTTTTGATAAATAGCAATAAAGAAAGGCAGTTATCATGATTTGTGGTATTTTTTAAGGGGAAGTTTGTAGAAATTCGTAGCATAGCTGCTCGATACTTCACTTATTTATTAATGTTTGCAAACAGTTACACTTGTTTGTAAAATTTACGGACTGTTTAATAATTTGCAGGCAACAAATCTCTCACAGATTTTAAATCATTTAAAAATATGTCAAAAAGTATGCAACTTTCTTTAGCTTAGAAGTGAAAAGCATATGTTCCAAATTGAACTAGATTATTTCATGGGGTTATTTTAGGCTTCTTAGGTTTATTTAAACCTTGACACTTTCGTGGCATTTAATAATTATTATATATAGTATAATATACTAAGTATATTAACACTTGTTCTTAAATTAAGTTAATAACAAATTAACTGAATTTCTTTATTACCCTTTTAGACCTGGACTTCAAGCACTTTTGGAGCTGGACAGACTTCCAATCGTATCTGGACTTCATGCTCCTAGTTTGGTTCGTGGGCGCCGCCATAACATATCTGATGCTGTCCGTTCATTGGTTCATGGAATCCATGGGCTTCGTGGCCGTCTTCACAGAGGCCATGTTAGGTAAGAATGGAAAATAACAAAACTAACCATCAACCTCTCAACACATTTATTTTTGTATTTTCTTAGGGGCGCCACAATTTCTGCGCAACTTTAAGAATAAATCAACATATGGAATGAGCATACACATGGTGATCATGTGGACGCTCGGTGATATGTTTAAGACTGGTTACTTTATTGTTAGGAAAGCCCCATCGCAATTCTGGATCTGTGGCACGCTGCAGGCAAGTATTTGTGATATATATACTCTTTCCATATGAAATTAATGGGTTATATTCGGATTTCCAGGTCAGCTTGGACATAGCGATCCTGTCGCAGGTGTGGTTCTACCGTAAGAATTCCAAGCCGCGCGATTTGCGGCGCGGCGATTAGCAGTTTGCCCCCGAAGAACAGCCACAGCACAACCACCATCACCACCACGATCTGCATACATCCCATTCCCAGTCCGAGGAGCACCAGCTCTCGCTGCCCGTGACGGTGAGCAGCAGTGGCGACGACCACCTGCTGACCGCCCGTGCGGACGACGAGCACTTCAAGGTGCTGGACTTTGGTCAGTGCCACGATAACCGTGCGTTTCAGTATCACAATAATAACAAGATGTTGCCCAGACCAGGAGGCAGTGGCAAGAGCAAGGACGACAGCAGCATGGCCGCCGCCCTGGAGGTCGTCATCGTCCATTCGCCGGCTTCCAAGGAGCAGCGCCTCATCGGCGGTCAGGAGTCAGCGAGCAGCGGCTGCTGTCGCCGTAAGCGAAACAATGCCACCCAAACTAAAATGGAGGGCGGCAGTTGCTGCTGCGTGATCACCACGCACCACCACCACTGCCACTGTAACCACCACAGGCACCATCACCACCATTGCCACTACAGGAGCTCCAAGCGACGAGCTCTGCTCCACCAGAAGAGGAGCCACCGCCATCACAATCTGCAGGTCAAGCAGTCGAACCACAAACCAATGCTTCCATCAAACCAAAACAACAACAACAAGTCTTCCTTGGACTCCAGCGAAGAGGCGATGCACCACCAGGCCATCGCCATCGAGATCGATGCGGCGACGATGAGCGAGGATGGCGAGGAGAACAACAGCAGCACGGCCACCTCGAACTTCCCGTACAAAGTGGCCAGCGAGGGCGTGAAGCCCATCATAATGGCTCCTCTGCGGGAGCAGCATCGCCATAGGAGAGGCTCCCTGAACTCCAACACCACCATCGAAACCGACGAGCTCTCCCACGACGACGACGACGACGACGACGATGATGTGCGAATGGGTTCCCACCACTTGCCGGAGGATGAGGCGCAGCTCACGCAGCCGGCGATCACGAACAGTTCGAGTAGCTCCACGAAGAGGGGCAATCCCGCCTCGGCGCCAGCGCGAAACGAGTGTGTGCGGATCAAGCGGAAGCGGTTCATAGCCGAGGCTGGGCAGGATTACTGCAGCAGTTGCTCGAGCTCCTGTTCGTGCAGCAGTCTCGATGAGGATCTGGAGGCCCATCGCGAAATGACCGTTTCGGCGGAGTGTCATCAGTGTGTTCCCGGTTCGCGGAGAGCCAGCTTCTGTTCCTGCCACAACTCCAGCTGCTGCTGCGGCTCCTGCTCTCGCGGGGATGAGGAGGACGACGAGGAGGAGGAAGCGGACGACGAGGACGACGAGACCACGGGGCAAAGGGAGAGCTTTTGCACGGCTGCGGATCACACGATAACTCCGTCGCAGGAGGGCGACGATATGCACAGCAGCACATTGACACCCTTGAGCACCCAGAGGTCCTCCTTCATGGATCAGGATCACGGCGATCACACCATGCGAAGTGACAATGGCGGAGGCAACCTAACCGATGCAGATGCCTCGTCGCTGAGCCAGTCGGCGGAGTACTTTTCGCTGTCGTCCACCGCCGGAGGAGCCGCCTCTTTTCCCATCAAAGAGGAGGACAAAGCGGACAAGCCGGAGAAGAGGGAGGCGAGGGATGCGAAGGATAGAGAAGTGGAGCCACCGTCCTGCAAGCACTGGAGCCGCAACCCGCACGGGAAACACAAACGGGGCTCCTCGCCGGTGGACAACTCCTTATGACGAAGTGTCTCGCTGGTCGCCTGGCCAGCCATCGATGTGAACGCCCTGCTGCAGCAGACCATCCGCAAGTCCGCCGTGCTGCAGGAGACGCCGGTGCGCAGGAGAACCACTGCCAAAACGGGTGCGGGAACAGCGGGAAGTAACGATTCATCCACGGCCACCTTGACGGCCAGTGTGGTGACTGTGGCCAAGTATCCCTCACCCGGATTAGTCAGCACCGTCACCAGTTTGAACGGGTGTGGCACCACCTACAGCTACACCACCACCACGGCTGCTCCTCCAAATTCGAATCCCGCAGCAGCTGGCAAGCGAAACGCCAAGTACTCGCCCGTTCCGAATTCCGAGGCCTACCAGTGCGATCCACTGCAGCAGAGCTCCACGGAGATCATCTTATAACTCATGCAAACATACCTCTGCATCCTTGACTTTTATACAGTGTGAAACCGTATGGGAATCAAGGGTAAACCTCATTAGTAGGAAGGGATTATGATTATACACAATCGCAGAAGACATAACACCAATCACTCGTGGAAAACCAAAATTCATTAAGCTGTTCAATTTGTTGTTATTCGGGGGTAACAAAAACCAAAACCAAGACGAGGACGTAGAAGAGGCAGACCTAGTTTATACACTTAGAACATAACACCAATGTACATTATTTTTTATGTGAGATGCGAGATCAAAGGATTAGCTTAAAATGTAACTAGTTTTAAATCCTTAGTTTTTCGGACTACGAGAATTTAAAGAAGGGTTTCAGCTGGGGAAGGGACCAAGCCAGAGTTGTCAAAGCCTTCGAAGTTTTCCAAATCCACGCAAAGACATATCCACTTTGTGCAAATTTCTAGCTTAGTTAACTTTCCTCAGCTTGGGCCTCTCACCTTGTTTAGATTTAACTTGATAAATCGTCATTGTTTTTCGTACATTAGTCAAATTCATTTCGTAGTCCTGTAAGTTCTGTAACAAAATCAAACTTTAATCTCGATATTATTCGTAAAATGAATTTTTAATTTTATCATTTCCTAGCAGAATTTATTAGCTAAGATCTATTAAAATTGATACAAAATAAACGAAACCCAAGCAGAACTTATGATTTTCTTTCTTTTTTATTTTCTTTTTTTTCATTTTTTATGCAGCACAATTCCTGATCGTTAGCTTTATTATTCTAGAGATTACGTAAAAACTACTAAACAATTACAAAAATCTTCCTTGCAATTTTGAGATTCCGTTGAAAACGTACACACAATTTAAATACGAAATTAAATTATTTATAAGCCACATAAATATGTATTCGAAGTGCTTGAGAATATTTAAGAAATATTTAAAAATTACCAATAACCGACGACGAGGAGAAGTAACATTTGTTGATTAGTGAGTAGCGGCTATTTATGATTGTTTTTACTACGACGAGTGGATTTTGTAGTGTCCTATAAATAACAAATCTGTTGCAGATGCGCAGTATTATATTCTTTGTGAAACCATTATCCAACTGTAACGAATTACTTACTAACAAATGAAAAGAAATGGAAGCAAATACTCATAATCAATTAAAACTGTTATAAGAACGGCATTTGGATTATAGAATCTTTTTTCATAACCGCAATGGTTATTATACTCATATTACTGGTATTTATATAGACCTATTCTTAAGTCAAGAAGAGCCATGAGAAGCAATAAAACGCAAACGACAAGTGGAAGTTTAATAATACTAACCATAATTGTTTGCTACCGAATTTACTTTATTGGTGTTCTAGACATTTCTCAAAACAAAATAAACGTAAACTATGCGATACAAAGGGATCTTTTTTATTGAATATTTTTTCTTGTGGAACCTTTTTTTCTTAAAGCTGTTTTCAACATCTCTATTTTTTGTATCTCTATTTAATATCTTCAGTTTCACTACCTTATACAAAACCGGACGTGTTTTAAACGCACTTTCAGTTGTATTTGATAAAAAATATTTATATGCTCTAATATATTATTAAAATAAAACGAATTCAATGTTAATGTGGATCATTCAGTGCGATCTCCAAAAATTTAAAAATCCCGCTGAAAGGATATGATAACAGTGGTTAAAAGATTCTGCACTAAATAAATAATAAGAAAAGGAAAAAAAAAAAAAAAAAAAAAAAAAAAGTAACATTTGTTGATTAGTGAGTAGCGGCTATTTATGATTGTTTTTACTACGACGAGTGGATTTTGTAGTGTCCTATAAATAACAAATCTGTTGCAGATGCGCAGTATTATATTCTTTGTGAAACCATTATCCAACTGTAACGAATTACTTACTAACAAATGAAAAGAAATGGAAGCAAATACTCATAATCAATTAAAACTGTTATAAGAACGGCATTTGGATTATAGAATCTTTTTTCATAACCGCAATGGTTATTATACTCATATTACTGGTATTTATATAGACCTATTCTTAAGTCAAGAAGAGCCATGAGAAGCAATAAAACGCAAACGACAAGTGGAAGTTGAATAATACTAACCATAATTGTTTGCTACCGAATTTACTTTATTGGTGTTCTAGACATTTCTCAAAACAAAATAAACGTAAACTATGCGATACAAAGTGATCTTTTTTTGAACATTTTTCTTGTGGAACTTTTTTTCTTAAAGCTGTTTTCAACGTCTCTATTTTTTGTATCTCTATTTAATCTCTCTGTTATCGGATTACCTCCCAAACCGAAAGCAAATTTTAAACGCACTTTCAGTTGTATTTGATTAAAATATTTATATGCTCTTATATTTTATTAAAATAAAACAAATTCATTGTTTATATGGATCATTCAGTGCGGTCTCCAAAATTTAAAAATCCCGCTGAAAGGATAGGATAACAGTGGTCTGTGCATTTCTAATATTGGTCGATGTCTTTGCTAGGCAAGAGGGTGCATTTGCTAGGTTAGGAGATTGGTTTCGATAATGTTGATATTTTTCGTAAAAATATCGATATATTGATATTCTGATATACTTTTCACATCCCTATCTCGCGCTCTCGCGGCGAAAAAAGTGCAGCGAAAAGTTGGGGCTCCCGTGTCCAGAAACAATCAAAAATTAAGTCGCGAGTGCGAATGTTTGCTGCTTTTCGCTAAGCGCGCAATAAAAAATATAATTCGAGGGGAAAATGTTTGGTTGATTTTCCCGTCGTTGTTATTTGTTTGTCTGTGCGAGTTGCAAAAAGAAATTCGAGAAAAAAAGGAATAAAAGGAAACGCTGATAAGCACGAACCGTGGAAAGAAAACAACAAAAGCAGCGAATTGCATTTTACATTTGGTAAGTGCCTGTGTGTGCGTGCCTGTGTTGCCTCTTTTGTTATCTTTCCTTCTCTCTCCTCTGCTCCTGCTCCACTATTTATCCCTTATTGTTTTTAGCGTCTCACAGCAATTTGCCAATTAAAAGCTTTTGACCTCTCACTTCCACGGATAGAACTTTGTGGGTTACACGAGCTACATTGCTTCCCCCTTTTTCCAGGCCCCCTTCGATTTTCAATTGAAGCATGACGCTAACAAACTAGCCTGTCAAATAAACTTGTGTTTGCGTGTGTTTGTCCACAGGTTTTGTGCTCGTCCTATTCATTGCACTCTAGCTTTTGACATTGCTCGGACTTGGCCAAAAGAGGGGAAAAGGGAGAAGATGCTGCCTCTGTCTCTGTCCCTTTCTGCCAATGCCAGCTTTTCATTGAACTTGATACTGAACATTTTCAAGTGCTCTTTTCGTCCACTTTTTTTCCCAGTGCAAGTCACTTTTTCAAGGCCTGAGTCATGGTCAAATTTCTGAAATTTAAGATTCCTTTAAATTGGTTTCGAGGAACTGGCATTTTCTTATCTTATCGTGGATTGTTTTGCTATATTGGCTTAAATACGCAATACATTAGAACAATTTTCACATGTTGGCTCTGGCATAGTAATTTTAGATAAATATAAAATCAAGTGCCGAAACTTAATTTCAGTTTAAAGAGATATGCCTTCGTAAAAATGTAATTAATCAGCTTAAAAGCATTCCAATTTAATACAGAAACTTAGTAAAAATTTGATTATTAAATCCAAAATACATTTAAAGGAGAAGCTGAAAAATTATTGTTTTCACAAAGTCATCAACTTTCATATTTGCACACTGTTCTTTGAAATCTTAAAGAAGCCGCAAAGGAGACAAAAAAAAGTTATGAAAAACTCAGCTAAAAATATGCACACAAAAAGGGAAAAACAATGAGCCTTGAAAATGTACAAACAAAACTTTTGGGATTTTGTTGGTTATTCAATTTCATGTTTGTACTTGTTGGTCCTTTTTTGCTTTTTTTCTTTATTGCCTGTGACAGCTTAGAAGATGAAAAGAAATACCAAAAAATCTGGCTAAAAAGAGATTGTGGAAATAAATCTAAGCAAATGAATGGAAGCTCAGCAACGGAAAATGCTCAAATTGTATTTACTGCTGACATTTTCACGCCCACCAATTCACACACACGAAAATACATACGTATACAAAAGACAATGTACATATGTATAGATGTATATATGTATATTTACGTACATACATATTTATCTAAGAAGTCGGAAAGGCTTCTCCACAGTATTTGGTATTCATGAATGAAATCAGAGCTCCACTTCTTCATAAGAGGGAGGGAGAAAGTCTAAGCTCCGAGGATAGATTATATTTCCTGCCTTCTCTATCTGGCTCCATCTCTCCCCCTTTTCCTTATCTCTCCTATCCTTTATCGCCCCATTCTGTTTTGGCACAGTAAAATAGGCGCCAAGGCGCTTTGCATCCTTTTCTTTGTACAGTAGAACCTACGAATACAGAGACAGTCTGCTCGTTTACAAAGCTCTTAAAACATGTTATCTCCTAGGATTCATAAAAGTTCGTTACCATCAGTAGATTGATTTAAGTGGCATTTATATTACAAAATAATAGCTCGTAAAGTTCGAAAGTGTTGCAACTTTAATGACTTCCATAAAATTTGTGAAAGTTTGTAAGTTTTCAAAAGTCAACAAGTAGACAAGAAGTAAAGAACTCTGGCTACATATTAGTATACATGGACGGGTTTCTTAAGCGAATAACTACTGTAATTGCTATCCCGTTCCGACTTCCCGACATGTTGTGCATTTAAATCGCACTTGATCAACGAAGCTTATAGCGTGGGTTTGCCGAAGAGTGTGCACTTTGGCACATCAACTTTTTATGGTCCCGCCGAGTAGGCATTTTATTTTTACGCCTGAAATAATTTATAGATTTAACCCGGCACACGCATAAATTGATTATGCACAGAGCCGGAGTCAGGAAAAGGAGCCAAGGATCCCCGGTGGACTCTATTAATAGAGCCAAAGAGCAAAGGGTCCCCGGCAATTAGATGAACTTGCCCGCTAACGCATGAATTTATGCATTTAACATGAGGGGGAGTTCCTCGTGGCAGGTGATAAACAATTTCACCGCGCATAAACAATATGCCAGGTAGCACTTAGTGCGTGTGTCCCATTCTGTCCGGTTATTCTTTATTCTGCCCCCAGGACAGGCTTTGACGTCAGCAATGTGGTTCTCCTTGGGGTATGAAAACATCACATGACTCGGGATTAGGAATATAAAGAATGGCTTACAAATAGTAATCAAATATTAGAGCATTTTTCAAACAGATAAGGTATTCCCTTAATAATAATAATAATAAGTTAAAGATATCTTATATGACTTATTTAGCAGGGTTTAAAAAGTCCTCTAATCACCAAATTCAAGTTTGGTTAATGAGCAGTTTCCATAAATTCAATAGAACAGACAACAACATCATGCCCCACCCCCTCTTTCAAGCAATTGAAGCTTATCTCGTGTGCAATAACCGCTATCCAAAGTGCTTAACTTTGACACCCGACAAAAGCCAAATTGACAGGTCGCTTCACACGAGCTATCGCCATAGACGCAGTTGCACCGAGAACAACACTTTTAACTTTCCACTTCGCTAAATTCGAAATACTTTAGGTAAAATAGATTTAGACTTGTGGAGATCAGCAAGGAATAAAAAGGTATATCAGGATACCCAACAATCCATATTTTACTACTTTCGTTGATTACGAAAAAATTGTGCACTGACTAAAACTCAGTTTATTTTTCTCAGTGTATTTCCTTGGACATAGACCAGACTGAGCCGCAATTCACCCGCTAACGTCATCAAACGACGCATATATGTGATCCATATCCCTTGGCCGATGTCCATGTCAAAGTCCACTTTTAACCCGTGAGATGTGGCCATTGTTGTTGTGGTTTCTGCTGTTTTTGCCTTTGTTGCTCTCTTGTCGAAAGCAATTTCATAAATGGCTTCCGTTTGAATGAAACACGCGCCAGCAGTGAGTCGGGTAAAAATATTGTGGAGTCGTGGAAGAGTGGGGCTTAAGGTTTGGCGAGGCTTTTCATCTTGTGGCTGTCTTTTACTCCTCCTCGAATCGGTTGTCTAGGAGCCGACTGCTTATAAATATATACGTGCTAAATATGCCTGGAGAAGACTTAATAAATACATAACAACATGTGGTGCGGGTCATGAAAAAGTTTTTATATCTTTTTCAAGAAGGGTACCTTTATTTTTAAGAATAAGAAGTTGGTTTGTAAAAAAGTTTTGTAATTTCTTTAATATTTTTTTAAAGGGGTTTTAAATTTAAATCCCTTTAATAAAAATACAAAGTTAATTAAACAATAAAAATATCCAGATACTTAATTTTTTTTAATAATTTTGAACACACCTAAAACACTTTAATAAATCAGCCACCCAACTGTAAGTTTTTTCCGAGTTCTTCTCAATTAAAATCAATCAATATGAAATGCCTAGTTAAACTTTTAAGTATATTTCAAACCCCATTGAGATCGTCAATTGCCTAGATTCTTGTTGTCGTATTTTCTTCTTGTGAGAATGAGCTTTATGGGCGCCACACTAATATGACAGACTAACAGAGACATTTCCAAGGTCATGGTACATATCCATAGAGATGGAACGGCTTCTCTTCATCATTATATCTTTTTTGTGGAACCACGACGAGGTCAGACCATCAGCATCAGTCACTGCCCGTTAGTCAGCTAACGGGAATTATTGGACCTCGAAAGAGTCAACGAACCTTATCAAGTGACAAAGCACTTCGAATTGGTTAGCATCATCCAACCCAACCAGGAAGTAAAGGAGACCGATTGTGATGGTGATGCCTGGCCTTGATTAATGCTGAATGCACATTTAAAAGCTTTCTATACCGAGGGTGGAAAAAACAGAGAGAGTAAAGGCAATCCGTGCTTAATTCAATTTGCATGTGCACGAGAGTCCGAGCGAGGAATTGTTTATAAATAAATTAACAAAGCCCCAACAAGCGGTGACCCTCGGACTTCCATCTAGAACAATGCCAGTGCCGTCAGAAAAACTGCATAAGAGGGGCCAAAGTGGGGGGCGAAAGGATGACTATCGGTGTTGAGCAATTATCTGTAAAAAAAGGAAACGGTAGAAAGCTAGAAAAAGGTTTCAAGCACCATTAATTTTTAAAAATACATATAAACATTAAAAACTAACAATTTTTTTTTATCACCTATTTAGAGTACAGAAATGCATAGCTCCAGTAAAAGGATACAAGATAACAAGCCAACTTTATATACATAGAACCATAAAAATAAATATAATTTTAATTTTTGTTTTTTTTTAGTCATTATTTTATTGCCTTTTATAGATGTTATGTTTTCTTATTTTACTTACCACGTCATAACTGATGATAGGATAAGTGCAAGTGCAAGAAATGAAAAGAGGATGAAGAAGCGAATGCCATGGCAACCGCACTCGATGGTCAAGAAAGGGGGATCAGTTCTCGGCGGACGTGTGCCTTATAGTAGGTGTTCACTAATGGCTGAGAACAAAGAACTGTTGCAGGGGCCATTAGTCAGCATCTCACCGCCGTCGTTCTTCGCCTCCCACATTTCCCCAGAACAAATATTTCCGCATTGTTCAGCTGCTGCACCAAACAGTTGATTAACGATCTCTCTCTCTCTCTCTCTCTCTCTCTTAAGCTTTCTGCACTCGAAGAAATTCTTAGGCTAAAATATCAGTAAACTGTTTTTCTTTTGCTCCTTATAAATTTCTTTTCGTTTTATTGGTTATTAAACCCATTTAAGATTATTTAATTAAAACCTTTTTTTAGCATTAAATGTTTATGTAAAAAATTTACAATTGTTTCGTTAAATTTATTTATTATTACATTTTACGTTTTGAAGCTCAAAAAAATATAAGTTATTTTCTAAAGGTGTTGTACATATTTTGTTTTTACCCTGCTTTATTTTATGCAATTCGTCGTCAGGAACAAAAATCAATAAAAAAAATGCGCGTAAGGAGAGCACACAGAACTTAAGCATCGCCGGAATTTTTTTTTAGCAAAGTGACACAGTTCTCATTTCTTCCTTTTTTATTTCAGTTTTTTTTTTTTTTTTTTTATTGTTTACCCCTTTTACTTTCGTGTTTGCATTCAGAAATTTTGCATGCGACAGGCGAGTAAATTTGCATGCAATGAAACAACAATAAACATGGGCCAAGTTGTTTGTTTACGTACCATTAAAGCCATATACAGTAGAATCCTGTTATAACGACTCGCTTATGTGTCCGTCCGGGTATTGCGACGAAAACTCGATGGCTTGATTGGTCCCCGACAGACTTATACACTTAAATCCTTCTGCTTGTCGTCTTCCGTATAACGACAAAATCGTGGTCCTTGAAAGTCGCTATAAGCGGATTCACTGTACATGTATTTCTTTTACTGGCTTACTGGAAAATCAACTTACATATATTAATTACTTGTTACCTTCTGTTCATTTCCCACGCTTTTAAAGGTGTCGCTCGTTGAATTCCTAAATGGTTTAGGTATTTCCTTCCCAAAAAAATGGAATTCAAAATTTGGGTTTTTAATAAGAACGAGCTTAAATTTAAATTTAAGAAAATTTAAACACATTTAACGCCAAGAAAACAGCTATCCACTTTAATAAAAAAAAAGCTTGTTACAACAAGTTGTTCCGTTGGAAAACTCAAGTAAAATCCCATTTATCCCAGCCCACAAAAGGAAACTTGAAAAAGTGTCAGACACCTGATTTAACGACATACTGCTGCTATCTGTATTTTACTTTGAAAAAAAAAAAAATTAACTGAGATAACCATCGTGCCCGAAAGCTATTATTAAATATTTTTGAGGGGTAGGTCAGTTATAGAGTGGGTTAAAGTAATAAATGGGGGAAAAGGGGGCCGATAGGGAGGGCAATTTGTTGAGGGCGTTGCTTTTGCTTTTTCCCGATCGATTTTCGTGGCGCCAGATAAGATATATTTTTGTGAGTATAGTAATTTCAGACAGCGCAGTCAATTTGTCGCCCAATCTGCGTAGATATGCAGTAGGGTCAGTCTGTTAGTAAAAATTCATAATGGCTATAAAACCAATAAGTGCGCTATAATTATCGTGCTTGTTGTAAATTTGTAGCAGGAGCAAAAAGGTTTACGATAATCTATCTTTCACTGAAAATATTCACAAAAAATAATATCCTTTTCAATCCTCAAAAAGAACGGGAAAGGTTCCTTAACTACAAAAATAAACAGTATGCAATATTTTTGCAGACATTCCTATTCACCCTACTTTGTGTAGATATATCAAGAGTCTGTCTGCAACTAAGGATGGAAAAATATGTCAAACATTGTTGACATTTATTTGGTTAAATAAATGGTAGAAATGTGTGCCGCCAGCCAGACAACATTTCCTATTTGCCATCAACGTGACTTCACCACGTTTTTTGTTTTTCCTCCATTATTTGTGGAACTTGTTTGGTTTGGTCTTTTTTTTTTTTTTGAAGATTCCTGTGGCGCCTTTGTTTCGGCCTCGGTCAGTTTTTGTTTTTTTTTTACTGCCCCTCACTGAAAGCAAAAGTGCAAAAAGTTTTCTCTAAAAATACTTTTAGTTGGGCACACAAGAGCTGCAGGAAGGAAATGGTCATAAGTGGGCTAAAAATGGTGAAGGACAAAAGGGAAAATGTGGGAAGAGTCGGAAATACATAGTTCGAACCTTGATGAACTCTTAATTAGTCCAGGGGTCAGTTTCAGGGGTGTGGATTGTGTTCTTTTGGCTTGGTTATTAATCAATCAATTATTCATCATTTGTAAGCTTACGAATGTTTTGAAAGAAGTTCTTAAGCCTTAGCAAAGTCTAATAAATGTTGGTAAAATACTGGACTTCCTTTAACTGTGATATGAATAAAACATGAGTAATGAAAGGAGGAAGCTTCGCGTAATCAATTATTGGTAACATAGAACTGCTTCGGGTTATGAAAGCTAACTATATATGAAAGAACAAGCAGGTTTTTATTTTTCTAACTATAATAGCAAGGTATTACTTGAAATTACTTTAAAGTTATTGCTTAATCAACAATTAGGAAATATATTAAATCATAAATAAAAAGACATTTGATTTTTGCATATCCTAATTGACATTTCCTTTGTAAACCCATTTTTGTATAAACATTTATAGGGAAATCATATAACTAAAAAGCAATAAAAGTTTCTAAAATTATGATAATTTTGTGAAAAAGTACATTTTGGCAAAAAAGAAATTCTCATAAATAAAGGCGAGCTAAGTAGAACAATTTCAAAATCAACCCAGAAGGTTTTATTTATTTTTTGTCGCCCTTTATTTGGCACCTTTCCATGTGCTCCTTTGAAACAGTTTTATCTGATTTTTATACCCTTGCAGAGCAAAAGGGTATAATAATTTCAGTCAGAAGTTTGCAACGCAGTGAAGGAGACACCTCAGACCCCATAAAGTATATATATTCTTGATCAGCATCACGAGTAGAATCAGAATACGTCTGTACGTCTGTCCGTCTGTCCGTCTGTCCGTCTGGCCGTCTGTCCGTCTGTCCGTCTGTCCGTCTGTCCGTCTGTCTGTTTCTCTTCAAACTAGTCTCTCAGTTTTAAAGCTATCTTGCTGAAACTTTCCCAAAAGGTGTGTAGCTATTGCACGCAGTATATAAGTCGGAACGAGCCGGATCGGCCGACTATATCGGATAGCTCCAATACGAGAGAATGAAATAAAAAATTCTCAGGCCGTTGTTTTTGATCAGATCGACTTGAATTCTTCCAGATGGCGTTTTCTAACTATTATTGAATTTCGGATTAAATTTTATCAAAATCGGATAACTCTATCATATAGCTGCCATAGGAGAGATCAATATATATATATAGAATTAATTGAAATAAATTGATAACATCGTTGTTTTTTATCCCATGAGCATGATTTTTTGAATATCAAGTTTTTTAACCACTCTTATATTGAGAAAAAAGTTTCATAAAAATCGGACAACTATATCTTATAGCTGTCATAGGAAAGATCGAAAAATCTATATAGAAATAACGGCAGTAAAATTATAACATCGTGGTTTTTATAAGACAAGCATGATTTTTGAAATATAGAGTTTTCTTACGACTCTTAAATTACGAATTAAATTTGATCAAAATCGGACAACTATATCATATAGCTTCCATATGATCTATAGTCGGAAATATGGAAAATGAAAAGAAAAATCGTTATAGCTTCGATGTTGTTTAGCCTTTATGCATTTTGATCGACATATTTGATGACTGCAAGGGTATATAAGCTTCGGCTTGCCGAAGCTAGCTTCCTTTCTTGTTTTGCTTTCAGCTCAGCTTACTTATCTGTGTTCTTATAATAATAACAGTCCCTTGGCCCCATCCACGTTTAAAAAAATATAACGCCCACAGCTGTTTGTCCTTGGTTTAGTCTCAGAGTTCAGGTTTTGGCTTCTGTCCAGAAGGTCAGGAGTGACCCCAGAAATCCCCTTTGAGGACTCTTGCACTCGGCTCAAAGCTAATTATTCGCAAGGCAAACAATCTGGCGACACTACGGTCAACACCTCGGACACCTCGAGGGGGTGGCAAAGCGGGGTGGGTGGGCGAAGGGATGTTTCCTTGGCATCCACAACTTAGGAGAAAGGAAATGAGGCGAGCAAGAGCCTCTCCAGAGGCTCTGCAAACTTTTGCGATAAAACTTCGACGGCTCGAGGGTTTTGGCATCTGCACGGAAACAAAAAATAAAGAATGTACCATATCTCCACTCTTTTAAATTTAATTTCAACGCTTGATTAGGAATGTTTCCATTAAAAACAAAGGGGAACCCACTTTCAGTTTTTAAATTGTGTACAAACAAGTTTAAAATATATTAACTGGTTGTTTTATCTTCATAATAACAATAAACAATTTTGTTATTACCAAGAAAATGTTTTCTTTCCTAACATGTGATGTTGCAGATAAGATTTGTATCCCATCTCAACCATGCTTCTTATGGTAGACCCTTATTACATTTTTCTTTAGGCGGTTCCTCAAACTTCTTTAAATTCAACGAACTGCGACAAAATACTTTTTTGTGTCGTTCCTTTTTCAGGAGCTGCTTTATGGTTGCTTTTGTTGTATTGGTTGTGGCAAGTATTTAACATATTCGGTTGGTGTTTTTGTGTTATTCACTTGGAAAAGTTCGCCAAGGATGTGTGTTTGGGGTTATGACTGCTAGACATGGTAAAGTATCTCCGGTTATTGTTGTGGTTCGGTTTACAAATGCGGGCGCTAGTTCAAGGTCACATAATTGTGCTGGGGAGGAGGGTCTACTAAAATATGAAAATTGCTTGGGGGAATCAAATTCCAAGTAATGGCATCCTTAGCATGCACAAGTATGTTAATTTTATAAGCCCGACCCAAGAAAATGTTAATGTAGGCATTTTTTCTTGTCGTCTGCAAGTGGGGTAAATCCTTAAAAACATTTTCAGGCAAGCGCAGGATGTCTGCTAAATTTGCCTTTCAGCTAAACGCTGAGTTTTCAGTTCTAAGAGTTGCTAGGGGAAAACATTATTTGCTGTGGGTTGCACAATAGGGTATTCCTAAATCTAAATTGAAAGCTATTTTGTCTAACAATATTATTTTCTCTGAACTTTTCAGCATCTCCTCGAACACCCACATTGCACCAATAACAATTTAAAGAACAAGACTGAATAACCACGCCCACACAACAATACTTGTAAACTAGTGAATCAAAAGCCACCGCTCAAGTATCTCAGAAATACCAGAACCAAAAGCACCAGAGAATCCATTTCGCCAAGAGACCAAGCCAAGCCAAGCCAATCCAAGCCAATCCAAGCCAAGAAGATGTCGTCGCGTTCCAAGGAGAGAGTTGTCACTGCATTCCGCAAAATCTTCCACAAGTCCAGCAATAACAACAACCATAATAATAATAACATAAATAATAACAACAATGACAAGGTTGATGGCGCCACTGGCAGCAGTCCGAACATAAACAACAATAATAACAACAACAATCACGATGGTGCGTCGCCCTCTTCAACGGGGGGCGGGGCAGTGGGCGGCGGAGCATCGGGATCGTCTGGTGCCTCCAAGAACGCCGTTGTTCGAATGGCAGCCGAGCAGGCAGTTTGGGATTCACCAGGCAAGCGGCGACGACAGGATCACAAGTACGTATTGATTACAAAAAATTTGAAAAAAAAATCGTTTCAAAAGTGTCCGTTTTGTTACAAAAATCACACTGTAATCTGGGTGGGAAGCTAACCCCAGGTCTTGCAATCCTCTTTGCAGAGTGGCGCCGACGACGGGACGCCAACTGGTGGCGGCGCCGGACCAGACGATCAGATCCCGCCGTCTGATGAAGGAGTACCGCGAAATGGAGCGACTGCAGTGCAAGAACGATGCTGTCTTCACGGTAAGTTCGAGTTTTTATGTATGTAATTCGTGATCAATTGTATTGAATGTGCCAGATATATGTACCTACGTGAATTTACATGCAATGGTTACCTTATCTTTTCTCTGTTTCAAATAACCTGAAGTCTTTTTATTAAACACTTGCAACCTGTTTTACAGGTGGAACTCGTCAACGACAGTCTGTTCGAGTGGCACGTCCGGCTGCACGTGATTGATCCGGACTCCCCGCTGGCCAGGGATATGGTCGAGATGGGTGTGCCGGCCATCCTGCTGCACCTGAGTTTCCCCGACAACTTCCCCTTCGCCCCGCCGTTCATGCGAGTGGTGGAGCCGCGCATCGAGAAGGGTTACGTGATGGAGGGCGGAGCGATCTGCATGGAGCTCCTGACGCCGCGCGGATGGGCCAGTGCCTATACGGTGGAGGCGGTCATCATGCAGTTTGCCGCCAGCGTGGTCAAAGGACAAGGCAGAATAACACGCAAGCCAAAGAGTACAAAGGAGTTCACTCGGTGAGCCAATGAACTTGAACATAAATTAACATGTAATGGAAATGTAATATTTATTATCCCCTGTAGACGCACAGCCGAAGAATCGTTCAGATCGCTGGTTAAGACGCACGAGAAGTACGGATGGGTGACGCCAGCCCTGGCCGATGGTTAAGTACCGACTTGGGAACACCAGGAAGGAAACTCAGCTCAGATGCTCTGCGTTTGCCAACACAACCAATGCAATTCAATATTCAGCCACACAGCTAAAGTCTCGCTCATAGTAATCAATCCATCAAGACATCTATACTATACATCTCTCTTCTCTCGGCGCGATTCATCCACTTAGTCAAGTAACGAACGATTTCAATTGCAAACCATCCAAAAGAACAACAGTGGGAACTATTGGAAATAAAAATACAAAGGGAAATGATACAAAGGAAGAACGCGCATCAAGCAACAAATTAGCTTAAAATGTAACTCTAGTTCGTAGTCATCAGTAAAATGGAATTTTCGCCGATTACTAAATGGATCATTAAGTATTATTAGTTGAGCAGAAACGAAATGTTAAGATCGATGAAGAGCCAATTTCCAAAATATTTTCAAATCGCCTAGCGCTAAAAATTTAGTTATGTATTATTTACAGAATCAATTAGTCTGATATCTTTGTTCGACTGTGTTATTATGATTTGTTGTGATTTTTGTTAGTTAAACAATGAAGAAACCAAATTACAACAGCAGCTTGTAAGCACGAGTGTGTACCACATAACTCGCCCTTTCTTTTTAAGTTACGCAAAGTAAATAAATATAACATGTGTCTATAATCGCATTTTTATTCAAAAAGGAGAAACACTTTTATTAAGCTTATACTTTTTCTTAATTAAGAAGAAAATGAGTCATTTTTTATAGGAAATTAATGTATTGATTGATTATAATGAGAATTGGCAAACCTTTATTTCATAAAATGAAAATAAATCTTCGGTTTATACATTCTTGTGTTACGTGTTGTGTATTTTCATTTTTTGTTGCAAATTAATCAAAGTTTTTAATATTTAACGTACATTGAATGCTATTTGGTAAGCACTTGTTTCATTGTAGGTCTCATTAAATTCTTATTGAGTTTTCTTAGTCGATTTCAATTCAAATTGTTTAAAACATAACTTCCAATTCGACAGAGCAACGAGTAAATTTAAATTCCGCGCGTATAGTGTTGAGCAGCGATTGTACACAGAGGTGCATGACGTTAGCTGCATGAGGCAATCAAATGCCGCAGGCAATGTATCAGCTGTTTAAAGAAAAAACAAGTAACATAAATTGAAGAAACACACAAGCCTACTTTGTTTTGTGTACATTACACATTGTGTACTTATATAATTCTTCTCTGGGCTAGACAAATCCAATTTTTTTGTATTTTTTACGCCATGAATGGAGTGTCATTCTGACTGTTCGTTTATGTGGTCACCCGAATTCGTTTGCTTTTCAACACTATAAAAAAACTAAACGGGTAGCTGAAAATTACAATCACAGGACACAATTTTGTAAGTATTTTAAGACAATTGCACGTGTTTTTTGCTCAATTAAGGTAGTGCCAAGTGTTCTTTAGGATTTGGTGAGTCTAATTCAGCAGTTATTTAAAAGGGCTAATGAGGTTTAGGGCGTGAAAAGTGACTGCCAAAAGTTGCCTCGCTGGGCACGCAGTTTTCTGGGTGAAAAAATAGACAGTCTCTCTGCCCGCGGTTGCAGCGCTGCCGGCGTCGCTGCTGCTGCGCCCCGAAGTCCTGCGGAAAATCGGGGAAATTGTCAGCCACCATGGGCTGTCGGAAAATGTTGGGGAAGATGGTAATGGAAGGTTATCTTCCGACACCGGAGTTTGTTTTATCTTGCAAATCGATCGATCCTATAGGAACTTAAGGATATAGTAGTCTGATTTTTGAAATTATCTTTTCCGTGCTTCTGGAGTCAAAGAAAATAACCATATAAAAGGTTTGGTTAAATTATCTTAAAATTTTGCAAAGTAATGGCCTTTTTTGGTGAGGTAGCTTATCGTACAGCTACATTTGTAATCAAACCAGAAGATCTTTTATCATAATAATATTAATAATACCACCGTCATATACATTTTTATGACAGATAATAAATATATGGCACCTATTGTTTTAATATTACAAATAACAAATCTATTACCAAACTTGAATGTAATAGAAATGTCACAACACCGTAGAAAGTTAACCAAAATTAAAATGTGGTCTTAGGGTTAGTAAACTGCAACCAACTAAGTTAATTTTACTAACAGGTAAAACACTTAAAGGGATACAAACATATGTAATCAATCTGGGGGGTTATGTAAAAAATAGTAAATGCGATCCCCAGTTTAAAAAACTGATAATCTAGATCAGCGATGCCACAAGTACAGATAACCGAAAAAAAAAAAACAAAAACAATTGATACAGCATTACAGCTGCTACCTAAATTAGCCATACCCTCTGCAAAGGTTTAAAAATAACCCTGAGAGCCAAGAAGTAAACACTTGCTATTTTTAGATTGACGGCAATGGAATCGGAGAAGAAAGCCAGTGGCGAGGAGGAGCGGCAGGAAAACCCCTCGGCAGTGCCCATGGACACTCTGGATCCGCCGCCACCGAGCAGCAGCTCCAAGACCCTGAAGCGCTGCCTCAGTGTGCCCATCATCCGGACTCCAACGGCGGGGAAATCGGGAAAAACCCCCATGACCACACGCGCAGCCGCAGCCGCCGCTCTGGCGGCCAAGGAGCACGAGCAGACGCCCAAGAAGAGCCAGCAGGCGCTGGATATCCAGATGCCAAATGTCCCATCAATCGATTGCTTCGGCAAGAACATACACATACGATCGCAGCCCAATTCACGGGAGGTTTCCCCGGCTCCTGTCTTCAATATATTCACTCCGCGAGCCAGGAGATATTCGGCCAGCTACAGCCCTTTAACCACAGCAGCCAATGGAGCCACTCTTTGCCTAACTCCTCGGGTATCGCAGCTCAGGCAGGAGGAGTGCGCCGATCTGAACAGCCGGGAGGTTAACCACGAGCGGGAGGTTCACCGCGAAATACAAATCTCCCAGAGCTGGGAGGACCTAACGCTGGTGGCCGAGAACTGGTCCTGCAAATCCGACGAGTTCTCCAATCCCCTGCAGGTCAGCCTGCCGCCCACCGGCAGCACCAGTTGCTCCAGCCCCAGTCCCACGAATAACCGAGCGGGCATGAGGCTGCCGTACTCCCCGTCGCCCACGAGGCGCACTTTCGCCACCAGGCGGTCGATGTCGCCCATCGCCATGAGGCCATCGCAGCTGGGACCCGTGAAGAGGAAGTTCGAGCTGGACGACAATCCCACGCAGGGCAGCAATTGGAGTGTGTACTCGCCTCCGCCACTGAAAAGATCTTCACGGAAAGGTGAGCCAATTGAAAAACATATTTAGTCTTAGTTTGAATCTGCAGATTTATAACTCGAAAAATAATAACAATATCTTGACTTAAATAACTGCAAGATGAACTCAAATGTGTGACTTTAATATTCCAAAAATTTGTTCTACAAATTGTTCTATTATTTAAAATTTTGTATAATATTGAACGCCATTTTATCACTTAATGTTTATTTATGTGCAACATTTTAGCCGTTGGGGTAATTAAACTCACGGCACGTTTTCAAAAGTTTACCCCTTGTTTGCTTACATAGTATTTCTGATCGGGTTCGTATAAATAACATGATAACAAACTTTATTTTTGGGTTAAGCTTTCTGTGGGTTGAAGCTTTTGATACTTGTTCCGATTTCTTCGAAAGAACGGAGGGTAATTGCCAATAAAATATGTTGGTCAGTAAAGCAAGCCATATTTAATTTATATCTTATTTATCTTTGTTCTTAATGGCTTTATAATTTGAAACGTTCCCCCAAAATGCAAAATATTTTATACATTTTAAACAGCGAACAGTTCTCGTTAAAATAGATTATTCTAAAATTTGCGTTCTTAATATTTCTTGAAGAAAATTTCTTTTCCTCTCAAGTTTTAATTAAAATATAAATTACTTTGAGTAAATCTATTATATTTTTTTCTTTTCGTAGACAACAAAGCATTTTTAAAAGGCTGAAAAGATGTGCTATTTTTATTTATAACAACTCACGATATTTTCATTTCTTGTAAGAAAGTGCTTTCCACCTCACATTTAAATTAAATTAACTTAAATTAAATTCTTGAGTAAATTTATTACAATGTTTCCTATTCTGTAGACACTGAAACATTGTTCAAAAGGCCGAAAATAAATGCTGTCAAGTAGTTGCGCGAAAAGCACTAATTAAAATAATATTAGAAATGAAATGGTGCATGTTCATGCAAATGTGCTTGTTGAGTATTTTGAACACGCCTAAAACATTTCGCAAACTGTTCAACAATGTTTAGGGCTATAAATTTACCAATCTGAGAATTTATAAGCAAAAATTTTATTGCAGCTGTTGAAATTCTTTTAAAATTCCCACATTTTTCCCAGATATTTCATATTTTTCACATATTTCAAGCCTTAATAAATTTTTTAAAACTACCTTTATTTCCTTTGCAGTCGCGGTACGTCACCGGTGTGCCAATCACCTTCGTCGGTGTGTCCCAGTCCCGATTCCGGAACCTTTGATGGCCGGATAACGCCCAAGTTATTCATCTCGAAGCTGTGCACAAATAACTCGGTGAGCGGAAGTGGGCTGAATAACAACAGCAGCAGCTCGGGCTGTCCGTCGCCCGTTTCCGCATCCCCAGGAGGCGTGGGCAGTGGGCCAAATCTGGAGGCAGCCATGTGCCTTGTTTCCGGTGGAAGTCAGAGCCAAAGCATCGACGAGGGCATCTCGATTCCCGAGTCGGAGTCGCACTCCTCCTGCCGCAGTCGCACCTCCTCCATACTGTCCACCGCATCCTCCAGCACCCAGGTGCTGGTCAACGATCTGGTGGACGATGCCACCCTCATGGATGATGCCAAAAGCGAGACCTCCTCAATCGGTGGTTGCTCCACCATCAGCATAGAGTCATCATCCTGCGACAGTGGAGCGAAAACAGCTGCCACTTTCCTCAATCGCCTCGTGGTGGATTCGGATGGCGGGGGTTCCCCGCTGGCGCAGAAGAGCTTCTATATCAACAAACAGGGATTGTCGGGCGCCAAGAAGTTCGTCGTGAATCACGAGAGAACGGGAGCCGCCAGCAAGGACGTGCCGCAAAAGCTTTAAGAATTTGTGTTAAATCATACACAGCTTAGCTTAGAGGTCGATTTTAGGGTACATTAAATAATGAAATAATCTCAGGCGCCAAAAATTAAGCTTTGGTTTACTTTCAGTGATCTGCTTTGAAAACTTTAGGAATGAAATTAAGATTGCAAACGTTACAAGAGAAGTCAAGAAGTAGGCACACCTCCTGTCTTCCAAACAAATATTTAAATAGCTAGATTCTGTTATAAGTTGCAGGGTGTCGACAAATATAAGACTATATTGTATAAAAAAAGATAACTAATAAGTTCGCTTGGAATACAAAATACAGGTACCGAAGAGGTATATTAGTTAAGATACAAAAAATTTAGAAAACACATGAAAGCAATATTTCTTACTCACTAATCAAAAAAAGTTATTGAAGAAAATTTTAATTCGTATAATTTATATTGATTGTTTGTTCCCAGTATTCAAAGCAATGTTTCCTGAAAATAACCAAAGACCAAATGGCGGTACTATGATTTTTGTAGAAAATTCGACCCAAAATACCCAATCACACACGCTTCAGTTGGGGGTTCCAATCGATCCCCCAACATGCTAAACCTTAGTTCATAGCTTCGTTGTACATAGTTAAGTTGTTTGTCTGAAGTTCTAAACCATCTTGCATATCATCTAACACAAAACACCCTTACACGCCTCTTAACTTCTAGCAAACATTCGTTTTTAATATGTTAGCCTAAGCTTCACTATATATAGCCGGAATTATTCCCACAATCTTTGTGTTATGATATGTTCTTATCTTCCAATGTTTCAATTTAACAATGGTTTTCTTTACCTAAGTAAAAGTTAATTCAGTTAATGCTAGGCCCATACAGTTATGCTTACTTTAGTTTCGTTAGTAGTCGCCGCCTCACCCTAGATTTTAGCTACCAAAAACCCAATTTTGCCAAATATGTTTCCTCTATGTATGTAATCGAGCATTGTATTGCCTATAATGTGATCCAATTAATTGCGGCGATATCTGCGCGTATCCCCAAAACAAACTGATCGATATATTTACGCATATAGGTTTACGATTCTATTCTAATTATCGTAAGCGAATTTACGTAGTTTCAGGAAAAGTTATACTTAGAAAGGATACAAAACGAAAGAATTGCCCATTAAACATTTTTTCAATAGATTACAAATATTTGTTTTTATTTGATGATGGAAAGAGGTAAGGATTGTATTGCTCAGAAGTGTGTATTGCTCGGTGTGCAAATATGCAAAGGAACAGGTTTTAAATAATAATAATAAGTAAGTTTTAAAGGTTCACAAGATGGTTTTATGATTGGTTTAAGCCGTCATAATGCTTCGGAAAACGAATTTCTATCACAAAACTATCAGAATTTTTCGGTATTTTTACAGTTTTAAGCAAAACAAAGTCTTTGGGAGATAGGAATTTCAAGATTATCTGTTCTTAATATTTTGAAAGTGGTGTTTTGATGTCTTGTAATGATTAAACCCTCGGATGAAAAGCCGAGTATCGTGATAATAATGTACACAACTTTATCCATTTACAACCATCTAGAAAAAGAGTTATATGATAGGAGGAGTTCCAACCTGATACTCATTGGCTTGTAAAAAATCGTTAACTGCGTTCATCTGACCCCATCCATAGATGAATGGGTTTTGCAAAAGCTTTTGAATTTTTCAAGGTGTTTTTAGATACTGTAAATATTTAAATAACTCATAGTTTTTAAATTTTACCCAATTAAGAACAAAAAGATGATCATAACGAGAGTCACAGTGTACATATGTAATAGCTTTACCGAGTCCGATATCGTGCCCCCATATCCAATCTATATAAAACACCTGCAGCGAACGAGTGAGTATGTATCCATATATGCATACACACGCACCGAAAAGTTCGAACACCTGGGGCACAGATGCCGAGCATTGCTCCCCAGTCTCGAGCACCGGCACAGTGGTTCCCCACACAGATGTAGGATATAATGTGCATTGCTCATGGGCGAGGTACACGCGTACCTCGAACACGGACGCCAATCCCCCAGTCCAAACTTCGAGGTCCAAAGGCCTGAGTCCGCAGCCGATAAACCGATTCCACACGGACCAAGTCGAGTGGGCGTTCTGATGACTGGACTCGTGTGTGTGTGTGTGTGTGGGTCCGATATAAACGAGTTTTATAGCGAAAAATAAGTAAGCGGTGCAGTCACGATCGCCAATATTCCGAGTCGGAGAACGCAACGGGGAGCCTAGCCATGTATTCAATGCGGATCTGGGGATCTGGCCGAATGGCACGAGGCAGATCTCAACTAGCCACGCTGATGGAATACAGATTAGAGGAAAGCACGCTATCCTAGCCCTCAAAAACCTCCATGTGTCACTAAAATCCAAGGTTTATTATATGGATCGTAAATAAGATAGGTGAAATCTCCTGTTTTCCAAATATGTATCTATACATACTTTTTAATAACTATTACACAATTGTCAATTGATTTAATCTTTAAATAACAAAACCCACTTTGTAGCTGATCTAAAATGATTAATTTTGCAAAGATTTTTTTTTCCTAATTCTATACAAATTTTTATTAATATTGATCATGCTAAAACAGCAGTGCTGTTATTATTATTGGTCGTTTATTTATTGGTTTAATGTATACCTGAATAAAACGATTTTAACCATTATTTAAAATAACGTTTTTTTAAGTATTGTGACTTTATTATTTTTTTTTATCTTAAACAAATTTTACCTTATATACATTTTTATTTATGGTTAAAAGGGCCTTAAACTTAAAAGTGTATTATGGCCAAAAACGAACAACAAATTGTAAACTAATTTAAAATGATATGGCTAGAGAAAGTATAACGGAAAACAATTGCAAATTTTCCACTTATATGCCAATTTTCCACCGCACCATTCTACATCCACACATACAGACATACATACATACACATTTGAATAAATTGCGATCGAAGGGCTTTCGGTCAATCGAAATGAATGAAGCTCGGCCTGAAAACGGAGAAAAGCAAAAGCAACGGCCAATAATTAAGTCAATTACTGAAAAACATATATGTATGTATGTATATACGTGTGATTATATGTATGTGAAAAAGGAAGCCAACAACAAAGCTAGAAATATAAAGAAAATCAACCGCGAATGAAAAAAATGAAGGCGCACGGTTTTACTCGGACGTCAATATTTTTTTTTTTGCGTCGAAGCTGACGTTGGCGGCGTTGCTCTCAGTTGTTGCTCCCCAGTAGTTGTTGTTGTTTGTCCAGCGTTGTTGTTGTTGCTTTTACGCTTTGGTCACGCTTCCGTACTCCCACTCGCCCACTCTCCTCCTTCCCAACCCTTTCCACCTCTCTCTCACGCTCTTTTCGCTCTCTTCAAGGGCGTCTGTAGCTGATATGCAAAGGGGGCCAACTCCACCTCTTCTGCTAGCTTTAATAAATAGATACATAGATGGACAATTGACCTGTTTTCAGAAAATCTCATATATTTCTTATGTAATATTTCACTTAAAAGCTTCTTGTTCTTAAGAACAAAGCTTTAATTTTTATCATTCATATAAATCCTGGCATTCTTTCCCTCTTAAGTCCTGACTACGCCTTTGCCTGGGTAATCTTGAAAATCGTGAGCTTTTGTTGTTGTTTTTGTTGTGACTGTTGCGCCTGTTGCTTTGCCTGTAATTGTTTTTGGTTTTGCTTTTGTTGTTGGGACATTTTCTTTGTTTTTCGTATTTCGCTTTTTGCGTGGCCCGAAGAAAAATCAAGTTAGCACGCAAAAGGGGGTGGTGGGGGACTAAGGCTCACGTTCGTGTATCGAAATAAAAAGCCTTAAGCGCCGTTCATGTTGTTTTTGTTGTTGTTGCTTTTACGCCTGATTCACAGACTGAGCTGCGCTGCAGCAGAACAGTCGGCGTCGGCGTCCACTGGAGCTCGACTTTTGCGCCGATTGTTGTTTTTGCCGAGAGGTTGCTGCTCGGCAAGCCGCAAATCGCGAATCCAGTTTCTTCTTCGCTTCTTCACTTATTCGCACGGCAGACGCAGCTCCATCGCCATCGCCGAGCGCAGAAATTGCGGATAAAAAAGAAAGAAAAGGAGCGAAGCTTTGTGAAGAGGGGAAAGCGCTGAAGAATTTCAATTCATTGCATCAAAATCTCCTTGCTGATCGTATGGTGAGTACGCAACGGGAGCTTTTAAACTATCAGGATTATTAAGACACTTTTCACTCCATTGTAAGTGATTTTCCCCATGTACTACTGTTTAAACATTCAGATACATATGTACATACATACATAGTACTTATACCGTACTTAATCGTTGCAAACTGATGAACCGATCTCAAGTATCTAGCATTGTTTGGATTTGTCAAGTTTAAATATTAGAGCAATAATAGGAATTAATAAATTAGTCAATTATTATGTTCCCAAAAATATTACGATTTAAAAGGAAAATAATATTGTTTTAAAATCAAATCTCGGTTGAATTATTAGAACTTTATCTTCAATAGAACTCAGTTTTAAGTAAATTTTTGGTGATCCACTACTAAGGCAAGAATTGTTCCCATAAAGGTCAAACAACCACTCCATTTTTCCCTTTAACGGAATTTATCAGGAATATGTACATACTTTCCTATCTATTGATCTTTTGACAATTAGAACTTTGGCTTTTTGATCTCCTTTTAGTGATCTTAATCTGATGGAGCTGGCTCTTAATAAATCATCGTCCTGTGTGGACTGTTGCAATGACTGTAACATTATGTCCTGCTGCTCTGCCGCTGCCTGCTGCGACGCTAGCTGCGAAGCCAGTTGCGGACTAATCCCTCCCGATCCTGTCAAGTATGAATACCAGGAACCCGAGGAAAACTTTGTCTCCATAGATGATGTGAAGATCAAGGGCTTTCTTTTGAGGATCGGACAGCAGCAGCAAGAAAAGGAATTGGAAATCAGAAGAATTAAGGATCAGGAAAAGGCAAAAAGGGAGCAGGAAAGAAAGGAGGAAGAGGCCCGTAAATACCAAGAGGTAATCGAATTGGATGAAGAGGAGGTGACACCAGCAAAAGGCTTGATCATCAGCGCAGCCAGGAGCTTAGCACAGTGGAACTCTTCCATAAGAAGGATATCCCCAGACATCGAACTTATTCCCAAACCAGAACATAGGATCGTAGCACAGATCGAGTTGAGCGACAGTGATCAGGACGCAAATAGCGAAGGAGAAGAAGATGTGGCTCTACCATTAAACACGGTATCTTGTGTTTTAAGCGAGCAGAATCAGAGGGAGGCACGAAATCCTAACCCCCAGGAGCATGTGATTGTTCTGCACTCCGACCAAGAACAAGATGAACCCGAGCCAGAACAAGTAATCAGAAAGAAACCGTCTTCGTCGAAGAGATCGGCGAAAAAACGTCCTTATGTAAATAGAAGAGGACGTCATCTGTACGCTTGTCCTGACTGCGGGAAGAAAGTGCAATCTAATTATAATCTTAGACGTCATATGATGATACATACAGGTATATAAAAAATAAGTTACTCCAATTGATTATACGAATTTATCCATTTCTATTTTGATTGTTCCAGGTGAAAGGCCCTTTCCTTGTGATCTTTGCGAGCGTCGTTTTAGGGAGTTCAGCGATCTTAAAAAGCATCGTCGGAGACACTCACATGATCCTCGATTCATCTGCATGATCTGCCATTTGGGACAACCTTTGGAGCAGGACTCCACTAGGTGTGCCGAATGTGAGAGCAAGAATCTAATGGTGAAACCCCAAGCTGAGGAACTGGGCGATAAAACAGTGGAGGAGCAGGCAGAAGAAATGGAACAAGACGAAGAGGATCCGGAGGAGGAAGATGAGCCCGAAGAGGAGGAGCAACCGCTTCCTGTACTACCACCTACTTTGATGGTTACTCTAATACGACCAATTCAATCGCCTCCAGAAAGGGTTGCACAAACCACCAACCAGCCAAGTCGTCCGCCACTTCCTCGCAGCTGCAGTAGTGCCAACTCCTCATCTTCCTTGAGCAACGATGGAAACACGTTTGGAAAGCCCAACAACCGTAGTCGCCGGTCTTATCCCTGCCCTTTGTGTCATCGTCCATTTGGAACTCGTCACAATCTTAAACGCCACTATATGATCCATACTGGAGAAAAGCCATTTAGCTGCTCCAAGTGCAGAAAACCCTTCAGAGAGTGCTCCACCCTGAAAAAGCACATGGTCACTCATGTCAGAGATCGCTGGTACAAGTGCCTTAGGTGTCCCTCGAAATATAGGGACTATCTGGAGTACGCTGATCACAAAACCAGTCATCTGGAGCAGCTGGGTAGCCGAAAATCATCAACCAACGAAAGCGAGGATGATGGCGAGAGTTCTGTAGAGGATGGTCTGGAATGCTGCGAGTGTCAGCAGAGATTTACCGATCTAGATGCTTACACGGCTCATCTCAAGCAGCACGACTTGGAATTGTACGGAATGAGTGTGGATGATGTTGTAGACGAGGAGCAAGAAGACGTAGATGTGGCATAATTTAAATTTATATGTAAGATTTTTAAAAGAAACAATACATTCCTTATTTTATAATAATGAATCTTAATGTCCTAAAAGACATCTGAATTCTTGCAGTTCGTTATAAAGAACTGAGTCCTGAATCACTCGCCATAAAGAAATGAAAACTTACAGAACTGAGCGATAAGCTCCCAATAAACAGGGCCTTATCAATTGTATTTATTTATAAATATTATCATATGTATTTGTAATAAAAAAATAAACGTATTAAGTGCACAAGAGTTGGTGAAATGTACAAGAGCAATTCATCGAGTTTAAACAACCTGCTTGGGTGTCCAATAATTAAAAAGATTGAGCTAAAATCGATTTAATTAAAATGTAACTATAAAAATAAATAGTAAGTAGAAGCGTAAGCGTAGGAAAAATGACTAAGGTTGGGGCGCTTGGAGCGGGAGAATCCACAGTGTATCGATCCTTAAATGTCCAACAGAACGGGCTTGGTTTCCTTGGCGCACTTGAACACGGATCGCATCATTTTCAGGAACCCAGTGTCTTTAGGTTTTTCCAAGCCACGCTGCACGCGATTCTTCATCACCGAAATAAACTCCTTGTTGCTTAGCTGGTTGTCATCTGAAAGAAGTTTGGTATTATTATTCATTGAAATTGAATTAAGAAATAACAGACTTACTGTTCTCATCAAAGATAGTGAAAACCACGTCCACCACATGATCGGAAAGATTGACCATGGCCACCGTTTTAGCCACATGCTGTAGAGTTTGCTGATCGATCGAGGCACCGGCGATGTGATAGAAAGTCAGGGCAGTATCCACGTCATTGATGTTGTTTAGGAAATGGAAGAAATCCAAATAGTCCTGTTTGGAGATGCCCTTGCCATGGTCCCTAAATCTCCTCTTAACTCGCTTTAGTTTCTTTTGCTTCTTTTTCAAAGGATATCCAGCATAGGCCAAAAGGAGTTCAGCAAAGTCCGCTTCTGTTATGTTCCCCTCCTCATTGGGTTCCTTCCTTTCGAACTCGAGGGAGAGAATCTCCCGTTGCAGTTGTTCCTGGAAGTCCAGGAACTTCTCAATCGTCAGCTTTTCATCCATATTGGGTCCAAAGAAATATGTGATTAAAGCTGAATTTACACCCTGAGGAGAGGATTCAAAATAAAATAATTAGTATTTTATATTGAAAGCAATAAAAACATAAAAAGGATTATTTGTGTGCATGGGAGCAGGTGCATCGGTGATTTTCTACCGTAAGCAAAAGTGATTTTGTTTTAGTTGAGTGCGATTGTGTTTTCATGTTTCAAAATAAATTTGAAAGGGCAAAAAAAGTGAATAAGCATTTTCACACAAAGTACCTTCAAGGACTGTTAGTACGTCAAAAACAGAGGGAAGTTAAGATTTTATAAATACACAGTTTAGACACGCGTTCAATATATAGGGTCAAAGCCAAAAGACAGAGAATATACAAATATACAAAAAGGAATTGTTTTTAGTACGTCGTAAGGTACTCTTTTCTTATATTCAAATATCAGGCTTATTACCTTGAAGGTGTTTCCTGTATTGGCGTGGTCGCGATGTCGAGTTCCCATGCTGGTTTGCTGTCTCACCAAAGTGGCCACCATTTCGAATTCCTCGCAGTCTACGTCGCCGTCTCCATTCAAATCAAACATGCGGAAGGCAATCTCAAAGTGGCGTCGAGAAACTAAATGGTTTAAGTGATAATTACAATATATTTTTAGTTGAGTAATTGTGTCTTACTTGAGAGAACGGTTAGCAGGAAAATGTAATCGGAGAATGTGATCAGTCCAAAAGAACCAAGCTTGTAAAATATGCTGTTCTTCTCGAGGTGCAGATTTAGCTGCTCGCCAACCGACTGTACGAAATAAATATTATAAATAAGAAAAATATTTAACCAGCTTTCAATAGAATAAACATACCTTTGGATCGTATCGCCGATATTGGTCCAGACCCAAGCCTTAAATAAATAAAAATTATTACTTGTAAAGAACTCTTGGTAAAAATAAAAGGTTGTTAGTCCGTAAATATTCAGAACCTTCCTTATCTTTTCCCTATGCTGTTATAAAGCACATACCATCTGGTTGCTTCATGCCGGGTGTCATGCTGGTTAAAAAATCGGTCGGAGTCATGTAGACTTCGTGACGATCATCGGCCACGGGCACCTGGATGGTTGCAAAGTAGCGGAACACTTTGTCCGGCGTGGAGAATTGCCGGATACGGTTCTCGTATTCAATTATCTAAGGCAAACAACATTACTTTAGCTTACGAGAATGGCATCGAAAAAGAATACCAAAATCAACTTCACTAAATTAAAGCAAACAATATTAAATGAAAAAACCCAAAAGCTAACTGAAATTGATCTAAATAACAAATATAAACCAATGAATGGGTTGTGTGATTTACCATCTGGCTGCTTGATTCCCGGATAAATTGAGCGAAGAAAATCCTCGGGAGTCATGCAGACAACAGTTTGCGTGGCATCCTGTAATCGCACCGTGGCAAAGTACCGGAAAATCTTGTCCGGCGTTGAGAATTGCCGTATACGGTTTTCATATTCAATGATCTTCGGGTGTGTGTGTTTTGTTTTTTGTGTTTGATGGTGGGTCAAAAACAAGACGGCACAAACATAAAAGTAAAAGAATCAAAGATTTTTTATAATATCAGCAAATAAGAAATATATTGGAACTGATTTTTTAAGGTTTTCTCAGGTTTTCAAAATATTAAAAATTCATTGTTTTAAAATCGACAAACGTTGAATTACATAAATAATTGTTAAGCTCTTTGAGTGTGTACTAGCTAAGAATTTTTTTAAAAATAATTTCCCTATTTGTTTCTTAATTCATCACCACAAGTAACTCAAAATAAATTAAATAATATTGTATAAGAAATACTTTTAAAGCCTTTGTGGCACAATAAAAGGATTTTCCATTTTGCTGAACTAAAATAAAGGTCTAATTTAAGAGAATGACCAGTTATGAGATAAGCAGAGCAAAAAGATGTCAAGTAAAACTTTGAAAACCAGATAAAACCAGAAATAAAGACTTTTTACAGAGTTAAAGAAACAGAGTTATAAAGCAAATTATCAAGCTGGAAGCATCTTTATACCTTTCTCTCGCGGAAACCGACTTTCTCGCGGATCTTCTTGCCCTCGTGCAGGTGCAGATCAGAACCTCCTTCTTCGTCGTCTGAGTCCTCCGATTCGGAATCCGACGTTTTATCCTCGCCATTAACGCCAGCCGCCGAAGAGGGACGTTGTCCAGCATCCGCGTCCACTTTTGGCATCAGCAAGCGCTTCACTCTAAAAATAGATTCCATCATCGTAAATAGTTCTGATTTTGCAAAAATACTTTATTGGTTAGTTTACTCACTTGCCCCAGTCCAGCACGGAAATTAAAAACAAACTCAGGATAAGCAAGTGGAAGTACTTTGTGACTTTGGGAGTCTTTTCCTCCTGGTGGCCAAATCGTTTGTGACCCCTAATTTGCGTCAGACTTAAATTGGCATTCGTTTTGGTTAGATCCTGAGCAATTTTATTGCTATTTTGGTTGCACAAAGTGGAGGCCAAGGCGATTTGCGCTCGGTTTTGCACTATGTTGAGGGTTCTTGGCCTCGACAAGGCGGCTAACGCCTGTCGCGTTACCAGAAACCGCAGTACAGACATTTCGTTATCCTCTTTCAATTGTTATTTGTTTTTTTTAAAAAGATTTACTCGTTTTTATACGCATTTTTTGGGCAAAAATTTTAGTGTTACCAAATTGTGGGGTGTGGAAAATACCATCTTTAACAGCTGTGCGGCGCCTTTTTATATATTCAAAAAATATAGTTTGCTTAATATAGCCCAATTATTTGCTTTGGTAAATTAATTTAAGTTTGATTTATAGGTTTTTGAAGATTAAGATTAGTGTTAGCGTTGCCTTGGTTTTATTTTTTGGCCAGTCCTTAATCGATATTCGATAAGTACCTTGGTATATTTTTCATGCATCATTTAGCTTTTGTCCGCGTGCGTTTTTTTGAACTGGTTATTTGAATTAAGCTGTCATCAAATGAAATATGAAGAAAATGAATCTAACATATTTAGTTAAATCACCTAAAGAGCGCTCTGAAAAGCAGTTCTGGCTTCAATACCAAAATAAGACTAAACGATAGCAAAGTAACTTAAGCCTAAAAAATGAACTATCCAAGTAGCATCTGATGATATTACCGTTTTTACCGTGTTTCTATTCAACACGTCGGTGGAGTAATATAAGGTTATAGTAAGATTCAATATTTGTTTGTTTACTACAAAACACAGAGCAGCGAAAAGTGTAATTTTTGATTTGCGATTTTCACCGCCTTCGAGTGTGTGCTTGCATTATAAAATAGCATCTCAGTATTTCACCGAGAAAATGGCAGCTGATTGGCAACACGCACGCACTTTAAACGCCATTAATCAATCAAAATTAATCAATCAGGCAATGCAATTACACACACGATCTATGGGATAAGAAGTACCGTTGCATTGGCCACCGCGAGGTGTGAAAAATTGAAATTCTGAATGCATCCAAAAAAAGGAGCAAGAAGAAAAGAAGGCGGAGAAAATGAGTGGCTTGCTGCAGGTGAGTTTTCATTTACCTGAAGATTTGATTAATGTTGCACACGCCCCAATTGTTTGAAATGCATTGAAAGATTTATTGAGCGATACTTATTTATCGCTTTTTTTTTTGCTACCACTGCTAATTATAATGTTTGTATCAACATGTTGCAACTACTTCCGTTGATACTCTAAGAAAATTTGAGTAACAAAATGTTGCATTTGTTGACTCTAAGACAATTTTTTTTTTTTTTTATTATTTAATTTATAATCTATTACTATTAACTTATTTTTAAAATGTAAATAAAATATGTATTTGTGTTCTACTTTTGAAATCGTTTCATTTCCAAAATGCTGTCAAGGTTTTGTCTTTTTTGCACTAATTGCAATTCGATTTCTAAATTAGCCGGTCCGAATTGAAACAATTAAATCCCCATTAGAGTTCAGACCCGATGCGATGCCAAAAGTCCGAAACTCGTGCGACTGGCTGGCTGTCTTAATTAAATCACTTCGATCCGTTCGCAAGGCTTCATTTGCAGTTTGTTGAAATTAGAATGGAGATCTGACCGACAACCAACTGCCACCGCTTGATTAGCATTTTGCAAATTAATTTCTCATTAGCAACAATTTCAAATAATTGGAAGTGCATACGCAATGAGTGCGTAATGGCCATTCCGTGAAAATGATCTGCCCCCATTGGTGTCCACTCCCCGGAAATTGTTTGCCAATTGCCCGTTGGAGGGACACCAGTAATGGAGCCCGACTTGGCCAACTGTTATCGGTTAGCCGGGCTGTAGGGCCAGCTAAATCAATGCAATTAATGTCACTTCCTCTGCATTTAATGTCTATGTTTTCCGTAATCGTTGTTGGCGCCATTAGGCCTCCAATCTCGGCCTGTCTTCGCGGCCCAGTCTGTTCTCCCAGCCTGTTAACCGGTTTTGCACTTCTTAATTCTGCACTGTACACTATTAATATAATTATTTCTTATATTTTATTAATTTTTTTTTTAATATTTTTGCATAATTTTTACTATTTATCTGCACAATTATATTTGAAGCATTTTATTCTATGATCTCTTTTTGAATTATATTAATATAGTAGTAATTTTTTAAAATTGAATCATATTTTCCTCTTGTAAAAAGCACTCATAATATGGGACTTATTAATTCTTGTGTATTTCGAGGAGACAACAGGTCTTTGTATCTTTTCAACGACTTTGCTCATGTTAATGATGGCGAGGACTGTCTGCTGTGGAGGCTTTTGTTTCGGTTGGGGAATGTCTTGAATTGATAGGAGCTAAAATGAGTTGGCCATTTGAAGCATCTGGTCGGTACTTTAAGTGGGTTGGCCTAGGAGATTATGTATCGGAAGATGGTTTAATATGACAGAAATGTTTAGTACAAGATATATATTGTAACTGGAGGGTGATGCAATGCATGCTGCCTTGAAACAATAAATATTTAAAATTTTATAGAACATGCATTCAAATTTAGAATTTTATACCAAATTGTATTATTCTACTGTTGTTTTATTTTTTCCTTCCTGCTGCCAATAAAGTTGATTTAAATAAAGATATAAACTCAGTATGGCTTATGTTCCTGCTCTTCCGCCGTTAGTTCCATGTTTGCACTCCATGTTCGATGTAAAACCCACTTTGGATCCAATTTATGTTCGTGTTCGTGTTTATATTGCAAGATCTAGTCACGCCATCTTATAGCAAAACTTCCATGTAGCTTCCCATTTATTCGTTGCTTTATTAGACGTTTCTGGTCCAGTTTTCTTGGCCACCCGATTGTCAGATAACTATATTTGGTTATAGATAAGTGGCCTAAGTTTACCAAGCGAATTTCCGATTTGACGTCTGAGACTTTTGTGGGTGGTGGGTTAACCTTTAAGCAATTAGCTTTAGTTGTTTTCTTGTGCTAAAAGCGTTCTCTTTGCTCCATCCCATGCTCCTTTGGCAAGCAATTGATTTACGCTTTGGTAGGCAAATTCTAAGGGATTCTGCCGAAGGAGAAGGAACAAGGAGGAAAGGCCGACAAGCCATTAGCAAAGGACTCGCAGCACAAACACACAAATTGGCACACATTTTGCATAGGACTTAGAGGACAGTTTGCGGGGACCGAGTTTGTTAGCCTTAAAGGATTACGTATAAGGTCAAGAAATATCTCGTTTGGAAGATACTGTTTTAAAGTTTTTAAGGTGAAGCACTTTTTTTGTTTAATTTAAACTTGGAGAGACAATAAAATAATTATCATTTAACTATATTGCTAAAAAACAAACAAATGACAAATAATTTTAAAAGACTTTTAAATTGTATGTTAGTCCTGTTAACCGAAATTATAAGTCACTTTTAATTTTTTAAATAATATAATTATTTTTTATTACTTTTTTAATTAACTAATTTATTTATATTTAAAGTTGTTTTTATTCAATTCAGTTATTAAGTCTATTGTTTAATGCAAATAAATTAAAAATCTTGTTGAGGTTGCGAAGCATTATAGGTACTCTTTGAATCCGAAGTGTAACTTAACCCCTTGAATAAGCCGTCCTTGCCAAAGACCTCTGTCAATGGTAACCAAACACTCGGCTAAAAGAAGCAGAAAGGGTACGTGTTCGAGAATCCAGGAGAAGATACAGTGGATATAGAGTGGCCAAAGGTGAACACACGCACACAAGGAGGAGCGTCAAAGAGCTTTTAATTAATCAAGAGGCAATCCACTTTGGCGTTTGAAAACTTTGGCCAATATGCCAATACCAATTGGGAGTAAGTCAACTTGCCTTGCCTTTACCTTCTAGCTATCTCCCTCAGTTGCAGTGTCTCCTTCTCTTTCTGTTTCAGTGTGCCTCTCCCTTTCTGGTGGACTTAGCCCTTGCCTTGATTGCTTGTATTCGAGTTCTTTGTCCTCGCTGCCGGAAAACTTCCAACTCCTGCATTTTCCTCTGCACATGCATTTATTGATTGGGTATTTTCCTTTTTGGATCCCTCTTCTCTGTTTCCTTTATTATTCCGCTTTGGCATACAGGACTAGTTTGTTTCATGTCCAATTCACTGCGATTTGTAGCTGTCACTTAGTTGAGTAGATCAGCAGTGGCGGATACAGGGGGGGGGGGCGATAGGGGCGATCGCCCCCCTCAGCTTCTGAAAAAGGTGCTTCACTTGAATGCGTCCGACTCCTCAGAAAACGCGTGAACCGAGTGAACTGGTGTGAACTTCGGAAACCTGCGTGTTACAGCGTGTCGCCAGTCCTTCCTTGCCCTACTTCTATCCCTCCTCCTAAGACTAACTGGCCTAGCATTGCTACATACGCATTCCGAAATCAGTATTGACATCGAGAGAGTTATAGAAAAGTTTTTAAAAAGAGGGAAAAGAAAAATGGAATTCGCAATTTAGATTAAAATTAATTAATTTATTTGTACAGTGTGTTTTGAATAAAACTGCGTATAATTTTTGATTATTTGCCACCTGCTACTTGCATTATTTAAAAAAAATTTTGATCGCCCCCCCAGGCAGATACCTGTATCCGCCCCTGTAGATCAGTCACCCTAATTTGACAGCTAAACAAATTTTAGATTAGATCTGTGGGGCTGCAGACTTAATGGCATTGAATGTAGCGCTAGTAACTGGTTTGAATAAAATAAAACACATTTCTTCATAAGAAACTTGTTAAAAAAAAAAAAATAAATATGTTGACTAACAAACTACATGATGGATGTGAATACTGAAAAAAAGGAAATACTAGAACAAGTGTTAAAAATATGTTTACAAATTTAATTACTATTTTAACAAATGTACTGCACATTTTTAACAACCACCGTAAATTGAGTTGTAAAACTGAACACCAAAACTAGGCTACGCCAAAAACCCTGCCATAAAATGTCAGAAAAAAATTGAACTTAATTAAAACATTATTAACAGCTATAAAAATTTGTTACACATTTTAAAAAATTTGCTTACCAAATAAATTCCAAAAAGTATTAGTCTTTTAAGTATTTTTTCAATGGGTTTCTAACACCAAACTGCCAAGGTAAAGTCTTTAAAAATTAAACACGCGCAACAAAGAGTCGCTTAAAAAGTTTCACCGGAACAAAAAAACGTGGAGGCAAAAAGCGTGTTTTAATTTGTATTTACCAGACATTAAATGAAAACCACACGAGGGCAGGAGCTAAGCGTTTTGAG